AATAATAAAGAAGACAAAGATTCTCACCACTGGACCAATTGGCAGCATCAGGATGGATGGTGAAAAGATTGAGATTGTTCTCAGCTTTAGTCTGCTTGGCTCCACAATCAACACCCTTGGCACCAGCAGCCAGGAAATTAAAAGACGTATTGCGATGGGCAAGTCTGCTGTTAGGGACCTCTCTAAAGTACGCAAGAGCAGCAGTGTGTCTCTTGAGACTAAGGTGCATCTGGCACAGACCATGGTCTTTGCAATCACTTGTTATGCGTCAGAGAACTGGACAATGACCATGGAGGATAGAAGGAGAATTGATGCTTTTTTTAAAAATTAAAATACTGGGTTTATTTCACATGTATATTTTTGTTTCCCCACCATTTCCATTTGTCTGACCACTGCTACTACTTTGTCCTAGCATAACATTCCATACATACTTAAAGCCAAAGCAAAGGGTGGAGTTCCATCTTTAAAAACTAAACAGGCATCTTGCACAACACATTCTTGGCAAAGAAACCTGGACAACATTTATCAGACAGGGTAGGGAAAGTTCTCACTCAGAATTATAAAAAAGGACAGCCAGAATTATCAACTGTTACAGAAATGAAATAAGATGGAAAATTTTAACAAACTGTTTTAACAAACTATTTTCTTAAAGAGACTTCCTCCACTGCCAGAGATCTTGAATAGCCTCCTGGTTTGTCATCCGGAAGCAGTTCTTCACATAATTCATGAATCTGGCTTCCACTTTGGGAAGAGAACCACCTTTTTCTATACTTGCTTGCATTTTTGCTTTAATGTCTTGTACAGAACTAGGTCCTTTTGGAGCTTTGGGAGTTTTGTCCCTGTTTTTTTTTGAAAGATTGTCCTTTTGATTGTGGAGTTGATGGTTTTGAGTCTTTTCCATTCTGGTTTGAGTTTTGTGCATTTTTGGCTGGAGTATCCCGTTATAGATTTCTTCACTGGTGCTTTTTCTTCAGCCTCATCATCATCTTCATCTTCATCGTCATCGTCGTCGTCATCATCGTCATCCTCTTCATCAGTGGCAAGTTTCACCTTTTTCTGTGGAATTTTGTTCCCACCTGCAGGGGCAGATCTCTTTCCTGATGTACTTAGGAGTTTCACATCCTCCTCCTCCTCTGACTCTGCACCTTCCTCCACAGCTACTCAGTGTTGTCCACTTACACGCACAGGCCCTGAGCCACACTTCAATCGTAAGACGACAGGTGGTGTTATTTCAAAGCCCCCAAGAAAAACCGTTGGCTGTACAGACATTTTCAAAGTTGTCAGTGTTCCTTTAATTGGGCTGCCCTCATAATTCATTGCCTCTGCTTAAAAAATGTGCAATTCATCCCTTGCACCAGCCCCTAAACTGACCGTTCTTAAAGATAACTGGTGCTCAATCTCATCATTATCCACCTTAAAGTGATAATCTTTGTCAGCTTTCAGTTCACAACTGAAAAGGTAGTTTTGGGGCTGCAGGGGCTCATGTCCATATCCATCGAAGCTTCCACGGGTCGGTGGCTCACATTTATGTGGGAGAGGATGGCAATAAAACACCACTGTTGCTAAGAACAGCAGCACAGGACGGAATCACAGCTGAGAATTGATGCTTTTGAGCTTTGGTGTTGGAGAAGAGTGCTGAGGGTGCCATGTACTACTAAGAAAACAGATTCATCCTGGAGAGGTTTAAACCGGGCTACTCTTTGAAGGCAAAGATTCTGAGGCTTTGTCTGACATACTTTGGTAATGTTGTAAGGAGAGACCGGTCCTTGGAGAATGGACATCATGCTTGGGAGGGTGGAGGGCAGGTGAAGTAGGGGAAGGCCCTCTGGGAAATGGATTGATTTGGTGACTGGGGTAATCGGGATGAGTGTGTCGGAGACAATGAGATTGGCACAGGACAGAGCAGAGTTTAGAGCTATTGTACATAGGGTCACTATGAGTCGCAAGCGACTCGACAGCACATAACTACGACAACAAAAGCATCCTTTAACAATCTGCGTTATGCAGATGTCACAACCCTGCCTGCTGAAACTGAGGAGGACCTGAAATGCTTGCTGCAGAGGGTCAAGGACTGCAGCCTTCATTATGGATTGAGGCTCAATGTCAAGAAGACAAAGATTCTCACCACTGGACCATCTGGCAGCATCAGGATGGATGGTTAAGAGAATGAAATTGTTAACAACTTTAGTCTGCTTGACTCCACGGTCAACACTCTTGGCACCAGTAGCCAGGAAATAAAAAACGTATTGCGATGGGAAAGTCTGCTGTTAGGGACCTCTCTAGGGTACTGAGGAGCAATGGTGTCACTCTGGAGACTAAGGTGCATCTGATGGTCTTTGCAATCACTTGTTACGCATCAGAGAGTTGGACAATGACTAGGGAGGATAGAAGAATTGATGCCTTTGAGCTGTGATGCTGAAGAAGAGTATTGAATGTACCATGGACTGCCAAGAAAAGAAACAGATTTATACTGGAAAGGGTGAAACCAGGCTGCTCCTTGGAGGCAAGGATTCTGGGGCTTCGTCTGACATACTTTGGACATGTTGTATGGAGAGACAGGTCCTTGGAGAGGGACATCATGCTTGGGAGGGTGGAGGGATGGATCAAGAGGGGAAGACCCTTTATGAGGTGAATTGATTCAGTGACTGGGGTAATCGGGATGGATGTGTCAAAGGCAGTGCAATTGGCACAGGACAGAGCAGGGTTTAGGGCTGTTGTACATAGGGTCGCTATGAGTCGCAAGGGACTCGACAGCACATAACAACAACAAAGCATCCTTAAGTTTTACAACTCGAGGCTTGAATTTTTTTCTTTAGTTCCTTCAGCTTAAGAAATACCAAGTGAGCTTGACCTTTTTGATTTTCTGACTCCAGATCTTTGTACATTTCATTATAATACTTTGTCTTCCTGTGCTGCTCCTACAGCCCAGAAGATAATACCTAGAGACTCACAAACACACACAAGACTGTAGGTACTCCTGAGCCACAAACTCCCATGGTTAGGCTCACTAGGAGAGGGCCAGCGAGCACTGTGGGAAAGCAGATGCTCTGGTGGTTTAGTGGTAAGGAGCTGCACTTCCAAGCCAAAGGCACAGGGTTCAAATCCTCCAGGCAGGCAGGAGGAGCTGCGTCCAGGGTCCGCCTGTCCTTCCGGATGACAGAGCAGGCTGGGTGCAGAAACAGGATGAGGCCTCTGGAAGGGGAGTGGCCACCCTGGCCGAAAGCCGCAGGGGCTGCTGGGCAAAGGTTACCGCCAGGCTGGAAACTTAAAGAGCTGAGCATGGACACCAGGTCAGGGGAGGGGCCCCAGGGGCTGAGCCAGGACCATTCGGGAGAGCGTGGAGAGGTGGAGGGGCCCAGCCATGCTTCGTGGGAGCAGCACCGACCAATCGTCTTGACAGCTGTGGGTTTGCAGTGTGGTCAGAAGGTCCTGCCATCAGTCATCTGAGGTCGAAGGTCGAACATCAACTACTCCCTGGACACACAAGCACCCAGCCGCCTTCCTCAGGCCTCCCTAACTGTGCGGGGAGGTGGCACTGTCCAAGCCTGGTGGGGGAAGGGCTGTAGTACGTCCCCATGAGCTGGTCCACTACCCCACCTGGCGGCCATCTGCTGGACTGCACCACCGTGTGGACATGCGGAAGGCCTAGAAAGGTCTCACCCAGCCCCTTACTGGGAATGCCGCCAGGAGGCAGGGACCTGAGCTCTTCCTGAGCTGACCTTCCTGGTGACCTGAGAGGCCAGGTAGTTAGGCAGCGGGGCTTTTTCCTGTGGTCTTGGAGGAACAGCTCAGGGAACCCAGATTTCTTCCTTATGTGAAGCCAGAGGCCAGCTGTGGGTAAGTTCCAGAATCCCCCAGCCTAGTCCCTATGCTGAGCTGCCTCAGTGCAGAGCCTCTGGCTTCTGTGGCCCAGGTCCTGTCACTCCAGGACCAGGGTGCACACACTGCAGCCTCCAACCAGGCCTCTCCTCTTGCTTGTCCACCTAAAGAAGCTGCCTCATTAAAGGCTCCAGGCTTCCCATCAGCAAACCTTAACGGGGAACAAGCCAGAACTTGTGGTGACTCAGCTGGTCAGTGCATCTGAGCAACTCTGAGAGCTGACAGTCAAACCCAGAAATCTTGAAGAAGCGGTTCCTGGAGTGGACATCCTGGAGATGCCTGTCAGGTTCTAAAACGGATATGGAGGGTTACGGACACGGAAGGGGCAGCCTACTGAAAACAGGGGCCTCATCCCAGTCCTTCTCCAGGCCACATCAGCCAAACCCGTCCATGAACGATGGCAGTGAGGACCCCACCATATTCACTGCCCACTCTCTGCCAAGTGACTCCCGCTTTTGGGCCCCCGTGACCAGCGCATACCTGGGCACACGTGTGTACCATGACGTGCTGCACATGAGCGGTGTGTACAATGGGGCTGGGAGGGACACGCACCGGGCCATCCTGCCTTGCCCCCTCAATGTCTGGCTGGAGGCCCCTGCAGATCCAGGAGAGCCGGTGACTGAAGCCTTCATTCTGGACACCAGCACAGGTAGCCACTGTCCATCCATCTGTCCTTCTCCCCCACCCCCAACCCCCACCCCCAAGGAAGCCCCTCTACAAGAGGGAGATGTCTCAGGACTCCAACTCACCATACAAAGCGGTGCTGGCGGCTCAGGGCCTTCCCCAAGGCTCTGGCTCGGGAGGGTCCTGCTCTCACTCCCCTTTCCTTGTCAGCTTCCGTGGGGTCCCTGAGCCCGGATCTTTACAGAAACTGCCTCTCAGAGGATGAATCCAGCCTGGCTGTGAGGAGGGGCCATAGGATGCCAGTGACTGGCAATCTGAGAGGCAGCTCTTGGTTTCCTCTCAGCCCCTCCCCAGTGACCCAGGCCCCTGGCAGGTTCCTTTCAGCACATGGTGGAGGGTGCCAGCTTCCAGGCCTCCCAGCGCATCTATGCCCACCGCACACTGCCCCACGTCTTGGTGTTCTCTGTGTCCATTGCCCGCAAGGTTATGGGGAGTAGGGCCATCACTGTGCAGCTGCAGGCAGCCTTCTCCCCAGAGAGCCCTGACCTGGACCTGCATCTGGGTCCTGACTTCCAAGGAGCACGGTGAGGGGAGAAGGGGGAGATGATGTGTGCCAAGAAGGGGTGTCATGGGCAGGGGTGAGAGGCTAGGTGGCCTAGTTGGGCAGAGAGAGGGCCAGGTAGGGCAGGGGTGAACAGGTAGGGGGCATCTTTGGGCAAAAAGGGGGGCCTCCTGGGGCAAGGGTGAGCAGGAAGGTGGTCTCACAAGGCAGGGGTGAGCCAGGAGAGGGTTTTGTGGGGCAGGGGTGTGTTAGGCATGAGTCAGTGGGGAGGTGGCCTCGTGGGACTCGGAGGGGGCCTGGCAGGGCACAGGTAGGTGGGGCAGGGTCTCGTTGGGTAGGGAGGGGGCCTCACGGGGTAGAGGTGAGTGGGAAGAAGGCCTTGTGAGGTAGGGGTGAACAAGGACAGGGCTTCATGGGGCAAGGGTAAATGGGGAGGGGGCCTGGTGGGGCAAGGGTGGGTGGAGAGAGGGCTGGATGGGGCAGGGAGGGGCCTAGCAGCATTGGAAAGAGGGGAGGAAGAGCCCAACCCTGGACACCATCTCTGTGCCCCTATAGGTACCTGTATGGCCTCACACACACCCCGGAACAGCCTGGGGGACAGCGACAGGAGGTGCATATGCTGTGGACACCTGCACCTGTGGCCCTGACCCTTGAAGACAGTGAGGAAGATGAGACCTGGGAGTTTCTTATGGCTGTGGGCAGCAGCCAGGCAGAAGCCCAGGCCTGCTTCCAGGAGGCTCTGTGCCTAAGGGATGGTGGTGTGCTGTATACAACCCATGCTCAGGCCTGGGCAAGTCTCTGGGCAGGCTGTTGCCTGGATGTGGCGGGGCCCTTACGGCTGCGCCAAGCCCTGCGGGGTGCCCTCTACTACCTGCTCAGTGCCCTGCCCCAGCCTGGGGTCCCAGGGTTCATCTGCCACGGCCTCAGCCCTGGTGGTCTCTCCAATGGCAGCCGTGACCAGTGCTATTGGGGCCACGTCTTCTGGGACCAGGTGCGAACCATGCAGCACAGGGGGCAGAGGGCAGTGTGCAAGGAGGGGTAAAGGCAGGCTGGGCCACTGCTCTGCCCTCTCTAGGGCTAGAGCCAGGATGCAGTGCCTTATGCACGAGGGATGGGGCCCCACAAACCAGGAACAGGAGTGCCTCCTGCCGTGTGCATGCTGGGGAGACTGATGGTGGGCAGGGCCAGAGGAGGCAGGGGAAAGCAAAGATGTGGAGGAGAAGTATTTGTTGACCACGGGGCAGAGCCCAAAGTAACTCAATTTAGTGCTGTACCTGCCCCAAGCAGCAGCTCCCTCAGCAGTCAGCACTGCAGACCCATTTTACAGATGACTTCAGCAAGGCTGTCATTCACTCAGCTTGGTGGTGGAGCAGGATCCTAGCACCAGCTGCTGGCTTGAGTGCTAGGCAGATCCAGAAGCCAGGAGAGCAGGACAGGCCGCGGGGGCAGCCAGAGGGACGCCCAGGCCTGGGAGACCTAGGACAAGCTGAGTGGACAGTAGAGAAGTGCTTTAAGGAGATGGGGGGGGGGCGCGCAGGGAAGAGGGAGGAAGACGACCTTGCAGTCCACCCTGAGCCCCACCTCAGGCTCTGAGCTCCACCAAGTACGCACAGGTGTGGAACTGTACAGCCTCCAGCTCCCATGATAAGAGCCCCCTCATATGCCCTCAGGATCTTTGGATGTTCCCCATTGTCCTCATGTTCCAACCGGAGGCTGCCAGAGCCGTCCTGGAGTACCGCATCCGCACGCTGGGCGGGGCGCTGCAGAACGCACACAACCTGGGCTACCAGGTGAGGAGACTGCGCACCCACTCAGGTGGCACAGAGCAGCCCCAGCCCTCCCTTCCTACCTTCACCCGATGGCTGCCAGGTGCATGGCAGATGCTGGCAGGTGAGGACACAGGTGTTCAGAGCCACCAGCCTGCATGAGGTCACAGGGCCACCTGTCCACTCCTGTGAGGGTACCGCCCTCAGGGTGAAGGCCCAAAGTGTTAGATGAAAGTGGGGGCCCCCAGACCCTACTCAAGTTGGCTCTGTCCCACAGGGTGCCAAGTTTGCCTGGGAGAGCGCTGGCTCTGGCCTGGAGGTCTGTCCTGAGGACATTTATGGGGTCCAAGAGGTGCACATCAATGGGGCTGTGCTGTTGGCCTTTGAACTGTACTACTACACCACTCAGGTGAGATGCCTCCTGCATGAATCCACCCAGGTGAGATGTGAACACGCCCACCTGCCCGCCCACCTGGTTCACCTTCCTGGGAGTAGGAGCACTCAGCAGGTGCTGCCACCTCCCCGGTGTGGTCCTGTCTGTCTTGGGACCAGGCCTTCTGGAGTTTGAAGCGCTAAAGGATGGGATAGGTGTTAGTGGAGAAAGTGGTGAGCTGGTGGGAGTCACAACCAAGGGCACTGTGCCCCAAATCACCTTCGCTACCTGACCCCTCCCCCCACCTCCCAGGACATGCAACTCTTCAAAGATGCTGGGGGCTGGGACCTAGTCAACGCTGTGGCTGAGTTCTGGTGCAGCCGTGTGGAGTGGAGCCCCAAGGAGGAGAAGTATCACTTGAGGGGTGAGGAGTGTGAGGGCTGTAAAATAGAGCCCCATGGAGGAGAAGGGTCACATGAGGGGTGAGGGGTGGGAGGGGAAGCTGAGTAGAAACCAGGGGTGAAGGGTCACTGGAGGGGTGAAGACAGTGGCACAGGGGTTGGCCCCAGGGCAGCCCTCCAAGCTTACCCTAAATTCTCTTGCCCTTGTGTCCCCAGGAGTCATGCCTCCAGATGAGTTCCACTCTGATGTCAGCAATTCAGTTTATACAAATGTCCTTGTACAGAACAGGTCAGGTTAAGTTCTTGCCCTCACAGGGACTTACCCCTAGGAGGCCATCACCCCACACAGGAGCCAGCCTGCCCCCTTGCATCCCCATGGGGACCTAAGCCTCTAGAGGCCAGCACCCCTCCACACACACACAGAGCAGGGGCCAGCCTCCCCCCTCTCATCCCCACAGGGACCTACCCTCACTAGAAGCCAGCATACACACAACACACACACACACACACACACACACACACACACACACACACACACACGTGTGGGGGCTGGCCTCCCTCTCTTACTCACACAGGGAACTACCTCACTAGAGGCCAGCATCCCACCCCAATCCCAAGGGACCTACACCTTCAATGGGCCACACACAGGCATGTACACACACACACTGTTCCCCACTGGGCCCGCCCCTCATTTCCTGCTTCTATTCAGCCTACCGCCCCAACATGAGGCCAGCCCCCCTCGCCCCCAGGCCCACAACCATCCCTCTCCACAGCCTGCGCTTTGCTGCTGCCCTAGCTGAGGACCTGGGTCTGACTGTTCCTGAGCAGTGGCTGGAGGTGGCTAACAAGATTAAGATACCCTTCGACCCAGAGCAGAACTTCCACCCTGAGTTTGATGGGTACAAACTTGGTGAGTCACTGAGTGGCCTAGAGCCTCCAGACACCCATGACCTGCACACAGGAACAGCATCCCTGCCCCTCCCTGGCCACTAGTAACCCTTTCTGGTGCCCCCTACTCCAGGGCAGGAGGTGAAACAGGCTGATGTTGTGCTTTTGGGCTACCCCATTCCCTTCCCCCTGAGTCCCAGCATCCGGAGGAGGAACCTGGAGTTGTACGAGGCAGTGACATCCCCCCAGGGCCCTGCCATGACCTGGGTGAGCAGCCTGCGGATGGGAGGAGGGATGATCAGCTCCCCCAAGCAGCAAGCCTCACCTCTCACCCCTGACCTCTGAACTCAGAGCATGTTTGCTGTGGGCTGGCTGGAGCTGAAGGACCCTGATCGGGGGCAGGAGCTCCTGGACAGGAGCTTTGCCAACATCACTGAACCCTTCAAGGTCAGAGGGCAGGGGGCAAAGCTGGCTCCATGGATGTGACCACAGGGAGAGCTGCCTGAAGCCCATCCATGACTGACAACTGGGCCCCACAGGTCTGGACAGAGAATGCAGATGGGTCCGGTGCTGTGAATTTTCTGACGGGCATGGGAGGCTTCCTGCAGACGGCTCTCTTTGGGTTCACAGGGTTCAGGTGAGTGTGGTGGGCAAAGCAGGTGACACTCTGGCCCTGGCCACCCTGTTTCACAGGAACTTCTTACCCCCAGGATCACCAGTGCAGGTGTAACCTTTGACCCAATGTTTCCCCTGGGAGTCTCTGGCATGTCCATCTCTGGCATCTTCTACCAGGGGAGCAAACTCAACTTCTGCTTTTCTGAGGACTCTGTGACTGTTGAGGTCACAGCCCAAGTTGGACCCTGGGCTCCCTCTTTGGAGGCTGAGCTATCACCGTCACAGGCTCGGCTCCCCCTCCCCCCAGGTAAGAGAGCCCTTGCAGACTCAAAGCTTTGGGGCATGTGATACCATGTGGTCTTGCCCACCCTCACTGCAAGTGGTCCCTCTCTCTCAGGGCAAAAGGTCTCCTTCCTCAGATCCGCTGGCCGGATACAGAGGGCCTCCCTGGTACCATCTCACCCCTGAGTGCAAAACCTTCATCCCAAGTTTCCGCAGAAGACCTTTTTGAAGATATGAGAGCCCCAGAATCTCCTCCAGGACCTGCATTCCTCCTCCCAGCCCACATCCCTCTCCTAACCTCCCAGGCCCTGCCCTGAACAACAGGGGCTGCTCTGGGATCACTGGTGCTACATCTCTGCACCCTCCTCGAGCCCCCACCTGCCCAGCCCTGCACAAGAGGGGCCCACACATCCTTATTCCACATCCACCCCATCAGTTTCCTCCTGGGAGGCTCCAGTCTTCAGTCCACACTGAGTGTCCTTATGCTCTGTCTGTGCCACCTCACTCAGAACATTGCACACCCTCTCCTCCCTGCTGTGGGGCTGGTGGACTGTGTCAGGCAACCACCATTCAAGTTTGCCCTGTCAATTGGCTTCCTCATAAATGGGCTTTTGGTTTCAAAGCTCAGGTGTGATTGCTCTGTGCTCTGGTGGACTGATCTCTCAGCTCAGCTTCTCTGGGCTCCAGCTGTGTCAGTGGAACCAACCACTCATTAGTGGTCATCTGCTGGGCACTAGCTTTCCCTTCAGAAGACATCAGCTCAGAGGCCATGGGGGAGCAGGACAGGAAGGCAGGGACATCCTGGGGGTAGAAGTTTGGGGGCCTGGGGACAAGAAGCCAGAGGCTCTGGTTGGGCGGGGGTGGGGGGGTAGGAACAAAGTTCTAGGACCTCTGGGAGTCCCGAGGCTCAGGAAATCTAGGAGACAAGTGGACCAGAGGTTCTGGGATAGTGGGGACTGGGAGGCTATGAGTAGAAAGAGTTGAACTCCAGGAGGGAAGGCCCCTGGCTGGGGTGCTCAGAGCCTGGCTTCCCTGCAGTTAAGGCCCCCACTATGAGCCACACCCTGCCATTGGCCGGGCCACAGTAGCTGAAGACTCACCAGCCACAAGGAGTGGGCATGCCTGGCAGCCTCTCTGCCAGCTGTGAGGACTTGGGACACGGGGAGGACTTGCACCCAACACACTATGGATGGTCAGAAGGCCTCCCCTCCCACTCTCTCCCTATCTGTCTGTATGTGCATGGGTGAAAGACAGACAGACAGACAGACACAGGCAGATATGCGGCAAAACTCAGAGAAATGGAAACAGAACTAGAGACACAGAACCCAAGAAACAGAGACAATGATAGTGACAAAAAGCCCAAGACACAGAGATAAGAGATACAGAGATAGATTTTTAGAAAACGATACCCAGAGATAGAGACATGGAAGAGACACTAAGATACAGTAGGGGAAGATGTGTGCGTAGGACAGTGGCAGTGGAATGTGTGTACATCTGTATGAATGTGTGCACCTGTGTGCTATATGTGCACATGCACATGTATGCACCATGGGCACATATATATGTGCACACGTGACACATACATGAACACATATGTGCACATACGCATTGGTATGTACATCTGTGCACGTGTGTTCTATATGTGCACGTGTATGTGATACACATGTGAACATGTGTGTGATGTGTGCACCTGGACATATATATGCTTGAGTGTAATATATACAGACACCTGCACATGTGTGTACATGTGTGCATCTGTGTGTATATCTCTATGTGTGTACATGTCTGCACTTGCACGTGTGTATCTGGGTGTGCATGTGTATGTGTGCCTGAATGTGTGTGTGCCATGTGTAGTTGCATGCATGTAACTGGGTGTGCATGTACATGCATGTTCTATGTGTATGCACACAAGTGGGTATCTGTGTGTGCATCTGTGTACACATGCGCTAGCCCAGATCCTTGGACAAAGTCCCACCTCACTTCAGCCCTTCAACCAGGAGGAACTGAGATTTCTGGGAATTGAGAGGACTTAGGGTCACACAGGTAGTGGCCCACAGAGGCCTATGCACACACTCTCAGGCCAGCTGAGGACCAACTCTCACAAGCAGGTACACACTCACATGCACAAATGGGCACCGTGTTCTGGAATAGACACCACTAACTACAGCCTGTGCAGCAGCAGGTGACCAGGCCTGTGCTCACAGAGCCCCTTCTGAAATGCTGGCCATCTTCACCCCAGAAGCCACAGGACAGCCCAGCACAGGGGCCACAGGGCTATGGAGGATAAGACAGTACCTTGCACCTCTCCCCTACAGCCAGGAATCAGGCACTTTCTGGACCCACGGCTTTTAATTCTGGATCCAGGCCTGAGCCTGGGTGCAGGAAGCAAGGCTGGGTGCAGAGTGAGGGGCCTGGGATGGGTCTGCAGACCGTGTGTGCAGGGGGCATGGCACCAAGCAGAGGGGTCAATTATAGTCTGCGTCGTCATCAAACTTGGTGCTGAAGAAGGCAGAGGAGCCCTTGGCCAACCTGGACAGGTGCAGGGAGCCTGTCACCACCAAGGCTAGCAGCAGCAGCGGTGGCACCAGCGTCCACATGGCAGCCAGGATGTTGTAACACTTGGCTCTGGAGCCCAGACGCTGAGCTGCCTCCAGGTCTCCGGCCACCTTCTGGTCTCGAGCCTGGGGACAGGAGAGGACACAAGCATACTCAGGCTGGTAGTCAAGGGCCTTCAAGCAAGCCCCCTCCCACAGGCTGGCTGTACTGGACAACCCTGGACAGAGGGAGCCTGCTGAGTTGACCATCCGTCCCTGGCCCCACTCCACAAGTAACCCTGGTAGCAGAGACTCCAGCCATCTCAGCCCAACCTCAGCTCCAAAGTGCCTCTGTGGGGAGATTCCCGCGGTGTTGAGACTCCCATCACACCCAGGAATCAAGAGTCCCTGCTACACCATGGGCTAGCCCTCCCTTCTCCTTTTTCCAGAAAGGATACTGGGTCTCCCTTAAGGAGTGCCCCTCCTCCTCGTTCAGCAGGGCCCCCTTAAGGAGGACCACTACCATGTCCATGGAGCAGACCTGGCCCCCACGACAGCACCTTCTACTACCCTCCTGGAAAGGGAACCCCTCAAAGTGCTCTGTCCCTTGATAAGCACCCCTGCCTTGTAGCACGAGGGGGTACGAATCCTCCATGAAGCCCCCATGCCCTCGCACCCGAGAACAAGCCTCCAAAGCCCCTTAGCGCGGGCAACCCTGCCCCGTGCACCTTGATGGAGTGAGCCAGCGCCAGGAAGCCCAGGCAGCACTGGTTCAGGTAGAGCGCGCTGAAGACGGACCAGATCATGTGGTCGCGGGGCAGGGGGGCGCGCGGTGGCCCCATTGTGAGCTCTGTGTGTGCAGCACCGTCGGAGGCAGCCGTTTGGGGCTTCAGGGCCCCGAGGTCCTCGCGGGGATACGCTGTGTCCATGGATGCCAGTGCCGTCTCCTACTTGTCCCTGGAGGCGACTCGGGCAGATCTTATAACTCCAGTCCACCCGCCTGGGGGCCAGGACCAGCGGCTGCCCGCTATGTATAACAACAAATTACTGCCTGAGGTGGGCGGAGGGCCCATCAAAGGCTACCAGAGGAGGGGTGCGCAGAGACCGCAGGCCACCCATCAGAGCTCCCACCCAATACCCCATGGGAACTCTCCTGACTCCACTCCAGGGAATGGGAATAAGGGGATGTGCAGTAGCATCGCATAGCCACTCCCCCTCCTCTGGACCCAAAGAGGTGTAAGAGCTACACTGGCTAGCTGACATTCAGGGAAGTGTGGCCACCACTCAGCCTTGTCTAGGCCTTGTCATCAGTGCCAACACCCAGCACTCCATGGGTTTCTCAGAGGCTCTTAAAGCCATCTAGCCTCTCTGAGCCTCAACAGTCCTCTCCTGTCAAATGGGGCAGCAGTCTCTGCTTGTTGACCCACTCATTAGACTCCCCCTGCCGCTGCTTGGGGACCATCAGTGCCCTGAGCGGGAGTGTGACACAGAAAACTACTGCCCTGGCACGAAAAAGAGCAAGTTTGTTCTTGAATGAGCAATACTGTGATCATGGTCACAGTCCATTTAAGCAGAGTGGTCTCTTCTGAGTGCTGGCTAGATGGACGTTTTCAAGGGAAAGTTGACAGCATCCCACTCTCTTTAGGCAGAGGGGGGTTTGAGGTGGCCCCGAAGTTAGACTTCGCTCCTCCCATGACCAGACTATCACAGGCCATCCTGCAGGAACCCAAGTCCATTTTCAGTTCTGCAGCCAGTGTGGGTCTGTGAAAGCAGACAGACCACACCTTCCTGGTGCTTGAACTGTAGCAGCTCCATCCACTCTGTCTGCTGTGGACTGTGAAGGCATCCCAGAAGCTCTGCACTACAAGAGGGTGTAGGGTCCTAGACACAAGCTCACAAGATTTGCTGCTCTGAGATGCTCTTGGATCAGCTCTGCAGGCAGCAGGAATGAGGATATTATTTTTTAATTTCAGCCCTTGAGGACACACCTCTGCTGGCCCCCCCCCCCCAGAGCTCTGCAGCTAGGCTGGTCCATGAGACAAGTTCTCTTGGGTGAGGAACCTGTCTGTCACCCCTGTGTTGACCTGGCATGGGACGAGAGCCCTTGGAGAAGGGGTGAGGCTGGGGGAGGCTGGCTGGGGCTGCCGAGGGCCATCTGCCAGCATGCATGTTGTTCTATTACCATCAAGTCACCTGCAATTCATAGCAGTGTGTACATTAGCTTTGAAACCTGCCCTAACCCGAGCCAATCTCATCGTCTCTGACAGACCTAATCCCATTTCTCTGGTTACTGAGTCAATCCATCTTATCCTGGGTCTTTCTTCCCCGAGCTGTCCTTCCACCCTTTCAAGCATGATGCCCCTCTCCATGGACTGTTACCTCCTGGCCATATGCCCTTGTCTCCAGGGAGTACCTTGGTTTCACCCTCTCCAGGACGAACCTGATTGTTCTCCTGGCAGTCCACGGTATGTTCAATACTCTTCTTCAGCACTACAACTCAAAGGCATCATTCTTCTTCTGTCATCCTTAGTGATTGTCCAGCTCTCTGATGCATAGCAAGTAAGTGCAAAGGCCATGGCCTGAATCAGGAGCACTTTAGTCTCCAGACTGATATCATTGCTCTTCAATACTCTGGAGAGGTTCCTGACAGCAGACTCCCCCAGTGAAATTTATCTTTTGATTTCCTGACTTCTGGTGCCAAGAGTGTTGATTGTGAAACCAAGAAAGCTGAAGTAGTTAACAGTCTCATTCTCTTCACCATCTGTCATGGTGCTCGCTGCCAATTGGCCCAGTGGTGAGAATCTTTGTTTTCTTGCTGTTGAGCTTCAATCCATATTGAGGACTATAGTCCTGGACCTGCAGCAAACAGCTCATGTCCTTTTCAGTTTTATCAAGTAAGATTGTGTTATTTGCATACTTCAGGTTGTTGATGAGTCTTCCTCCAATCATGATGCCACATTCCTCCTAATAAAGTCCAGCCTCTCGAATTATCTGTTCTGCATGCATGGGGTCCTCCTTTCTCAAGTTGGCCTGGTGTGGCATCTCAGGTCCACCTCTATGGAGCCTTTGGCCAATCCAGCAGGACCTCAGTCCCACAGGGCTCTTCTCCCAGGGAAGCTTGCAGGAGGGAGGTCCAGGGACATGGACCTCACCCCTGCCCCTGTCACTCGCCTACTTCCAGCAAGTATGCACGTGCAATGCCCAAAACTTAGGTGGAAACATCAGGAAGCCAATCACAAATGAGAGGAGAGTTCCTGTAAGTGAACTCTGGAGCACACTGTAGGTGAGATCAAGCCCTGAGCATACCCTGTTATAGCCGAGTCCACCTGAAGCTTGGGGTGTCCGCCCACAACCCAGATCTGTTCTCCCAGCAGGTCAGAGGGGGAGGCAATGGCTAGTAGGGAATGCTACTTTTCTATCCTCTGTGGATAGCTGGCCTCTGCCCTGTACTTCTCGCACTCTTTAGGGGTAGGGAAGGTTTTGACCACTTGGCTCATGGGGGTGGGAAGGCCGAGGAGGTGAGTTCTCCAGATCTCTGCTGGGGGCAGGGCAGTTACAGGGCCCTGCACATCCTTCTCGGGCTGAGGGTGGGGCAGGGAAAGTATTGAACATTTACAGTCCTGCTGTCACCATCTGTCCCGAAGCTTACAGGACTTGGCCAGTGCCATCCCACCAGGCAGTGAGATGCCTTCTGGCAGGACTGTGGAATCAAAGCGTTGGGGAACAGGATACTTGGGCAAGAGTAGGGGGTCCCTAAGATATGTCTTGAACGGGGGAGGAGGGCAGGAACTCAGTGCTCCAAACCAGGAGCTTCTGAAGACAGTACCTGCATGGTCATTTCTGCTGACACTCGGACATGGATGGGCTCCCCCACAGGGAAGTGTTCTGTGAAGAAGGGCCCACTTGCTGAGGCCAGATTGGGTCATGGGGAGAAGCCTAAGATAGCCTGGAGAGGTGTACAAGTCTCCCAACTCCGCAAGATGCCTCCATTCCCACACCTCTCAGCAGGGTTTGGAGGGAGAAACTGCCATTTAGTCACCCCACCCCTGTACTCCACTCTGCTCCCTCTGAGGTACCAAGTAGGAACACCAGGTTTTATCTTTGGATCTGGGAGAGGACTGTCACCTCCCTCATGGCCAGCAGGACCCAGCAGGGATCCAGGCCCAGTGAAGGTTCCTGTCACGGCCCAGACAACCTCGAGTTTGCCCAAGTCCAGAGGTGTGTTAGAGGCCATGAGTTCTGACTTCTACTTCCACAGACATGCTACAACTAGGGACTGGGCCCTCCCCTAGCCCTGGATGCCCCTTGCAGGAGCAGAGAACGAAGGGAGGTGCCCTGAGGAGACAGTAGCCAGGAAGAGAGGACAGCTGGGACAGAGAACTCCCTTCAGGAAGCCACACTAGTTACAGCCCCACCTAAGCCACAACCACCCAGATTAGAGAGTGTGCCCTTGTCATTCCAGTCAGCCTGGAAGGAGGCAACGTAGAGAGATCCCTGGCTCAGGCTCAGGACCAAGCTGGAGACTCAGGACAGAGACCCCTCCCTGTGTGATAGGGCACCTTACACACACTGCACTTTGTTGTTGTTGTTATGTGCCTTACACACACTGCACTTTGTTGTTGTTGTTGTTATGTGCCATCAAGTCGTTTCCGACTCATAGCGACCCTATGCACAACAGCTCTAAACCCTGCTCTATCCTGCGCCAACCGCACCGCCTCTGACACACCCATCCCGATTACCCCAGTCACTGAATCAATCCATCTCATAGAGGGTCTTCCCCTCCTGCGCTGTCCCTCCACCCTCTCAAGCATGATGTCCCTCTCCAAGGACCCGTCCCTCCTGGCAACATGTCCAAAGTATGTCAGACAAAGCCCCAGAATCCTTGCCTCCAAGGAGCAGCTTGGTTTAATCCTCTCCAAGATGAATCTGTTTGTTTTCCTGGCAGTCCATGGTACATTCAGTACCCTTCTCCAGCACCACAGCTCAAAAGCATCCACTCTCCTTCTGTCCTCCCTAGTCATTGTCCAACTCTCTGATGCATAACAAGCGATTGCAAATACCATGACCTGTATCAGGCGCACCTTAGTCTCCAGAGAGACACTGTTGCTCCTGAGTACCTTTGAGAGGTCCCTAACTGCAGTCTTTCCCATCGCGATACGCTTTTTGATTTCCTGACTGCTGGTACCAAGAGTGTTGACTGTGGAGCCGAGCAAAGTGAAGCTGTGAACACTCTCAATCTCTTCGTCATCCATCCTGACGCTGCCAATTGGTCCAGTGGCGAGAATCTTTGTCTTCTTGACGTTGAGCCTTAGTCCATACTGAAGGCTGCAGTCCTTGACCCTTCGCAGCAAGTGCATGAGGTCCTCCTCAGTTTCAGCAAGCAAGATTGTGTCATCTGCATAACGGAGATTGTTAATAGATCTTCCACCAATCCTGATGCCACAATTCTCCTCATAGAGCCCAGCCTCTCGAATAATCTGCTCTGCATACATGTTGAAAAGGTATGGAGACAGGATGCATCCCTGGCGTACACCCTTCCCTATTTTGAACCATGCAGTGTTACCCTGCTCTGTTCTGACTACTGCCTCTTGGTCCAAGTATAGGTTTCGTATTAGCACTGCACTTTACTGAATTAATTTCTAGACAATGTGTAAACTGCTGTGGACAGGGAAGGGTGTAGGGTGGACAAGCCAGTTTACAGTTTTAGAGCCAAAGGGCTCAAGCTGCAGCAAAGGATATTTAACTCCGTGTTTCTTTTTTAAAAAGAAAAAAATTTACTTTATATTGCTTTGCGTACAAAGTTTATACATTGTGTTTCACACTGTCCTTCACTGACACTGTGTTTCCTACAATCATTCTCATTCATGATGTTTTATAAAATCAATCACCATGCCCTTAATTACCCTGTCTTTCTAGATCCTAATTTCCT